CTGACTAATCACCTGTTAGGCCTAATTAATCTTAGAATGTTTTAAAGTGTTGCAATTGTGATGTATTTTAGTGTGTGATATGATGAAGCTGTTGATGAACTGTGATTGTTTTTTAAATTAATGGAATTAATTTTTTTTTACTATTTGTTATTTTAGAGAAACTGATGATGGTGGAAAACACCAAAACGTATTTTAATTGATAAATAGACAATAAATGACTGAAGCACAGGAATTGATTTTTATTTGAAAGTGATTATCACCAGAATTCAGATGTGGGGTTTCTGAAACAGCCGAAGCCGATTACTTGGCTTATAGAAGAGTCATGCGTGAGTAAGTCAGAAATGTGAGTCAAAAGTGCATGTCTTTATCTAACAAATGAGAGCTCATGAACTGGAGCAGATGGACTTTTGAAGTTTTCCAGAATTAGAAACGGAGTTATGGTTTATAAGTGCTGACAATTTCAGAGGATTCTGGTGACCCGTTTATTTTATAGCAACTGCGTAAATTTCAATAAGTCATAAATTGGACTCAAGAGTGCACTGATATTTTACGCATTATAACCAGTACATCTCGGGCTACAGAATTGATGATGGTGTAAAACACCGAAACGTATTTTAATTGATAAATAGACAATAAATGACTGAAGCCCAGAAATTGATTTTGATTTGGAATTGAAACACAGTCAAGAAAGTATGTACAGTCAATCACTTTTCCAACTCCTCTGCTGATAGTCCGATTGCGGACGTTCTGTTGGAGTTTTCACAAACAGTTCAATTTCCTTTCCGTGAATATGGTGGTCAATTTTTTTTTCTATTCCTAACTCCATTTTTCCAGCATTTATTGATGATCCGATATCCACGCTGATCTTCCAGCCATCTTCTGAGTCAACAGATTTTATGCATATTTGATCTTCTACCCAAATAATTGTTGATGGAACTTCTTTGCAGCAATTTTGCGCCGTTAAGGGAGCATAATTGAGCATTTATACCAAAAACTAACCCCGCTAAAATTCAAAGCCAATCTACATGCCTTACAAGCGTTCGTGACTGTGCAGCTGAAAAAGTTGTGTAGCATTTTACGGCTGTCGTAAAACAGCAGAAAGTAAAATACACTCAAGCAAAGCAAAAAAGCATTTTATTACGCTGGAAAAGCATGGATTTTTTGCTGTTCAAGCTTGATTAGGCGAATGCAGAGTAAACATTCGCAAGTTTATCTGGACAGGGTGAATTAATTTGAAGGCCCGGATGAATTTTGTATGATGCACAGCGACACTGATATTTATAAATGTATTCTCTGTTGTTAACGGTCGCCTGCCGGCTGGAAATGTATCGATTTCAGTAACTAACACACACACACACACATGGGGTAAAATAAACATTAAAGTGGGATTTAAAATTTTCGTATTTGCTTTGGTTGTTTGATTAAGGAGAACTCGAGCATTGATTTAGAAAATTACTCAGCAATTACACATGGTATTTAGAACGGCGCCCATCAGCAATGAAAACATTAGTAAAATTAGTCATTAGCTGCACTCAAATCCTCAGGGATGGACATGGAAACCTTCGAAAGCCCAAGCAAACCGACACCCAGCTATTACAAAGCGTTGCAACGAATAAAAGCCAGTTGTTAAGGGTTTACGAGCCAGTTAGCTCGAAGGATTTTATGGGTTATCGGGTAAATTTCAGTAATTGTGGATAGAGGCTGTACCTGAGCGATCTGGTCGAATCTCCCGAAGAGCTCGTTCAGAGTCTTCACCAAATCACTGGCTGACAGCTGCTCGCTCAAGGGGGTGAAGTTCACAATGTCCGCATACAGAATGCTCACATTGTTGTGCCTCTGGACGTACATTTCGTGGAAAGTTTGGGTTTTGTGCTCCGAACAGGCGTCCGCCATTTTCAGCATAATGCTTCGCTTTACCTGCAATTTGAACAACCAATGTAATACCGAGAAGCGAAATTTTCTTCAAAATTTGCGCTTTTCCAGCTGTTTCCGTCTGGAACTCCGACACAATGAGGCAGAAGTTTGAAAATTTTTTATATATTGGAAAATATGGTTTCGAATTCCAGTCGCTTCCGTGAAACTTCCAAAATACTGCCCTTTACCAGAAAAATTACTGCAATTTTGGATTGTGGAGAATGTGCGCTCTGTTTTTTCAACTCCAACCATTCAGTGCTTTAACTGCTCTTATTTTCAATATGGGAATTCATGAAAAAAATTTGGAAGTTTAATTTATTTAATAACGGACATCTAAACTAACCCAAACGGCACATTTGAGGCCCATTTTTTCCTAAATGTTCTGAAGCACCTGAAATTTTGGACGTTTATTCAAAAAAGCTTCTCCTTTAAGTGAGCGAAAATAAAAAATTCGATCGCCTGCAGTGTACGAGCATTGACTTTTAAAAAAAAACTATCTATAATGTTTCTGAACAGTTGAAGTATTTATATGGTCTGTAAAATAAAATTGTAACAGAACTTTTTTTCGGTAGAGGCCCAGAAAGTTCAAGAAACCATCTTCTTCGGTTGAGAATCTGTATATTTTTAAGTACTGGCATACACTTTTTTGAGTAACGTTTCTGAACCACTGAAAATTTGAAAAAATTCTAGAAAACCTGCAATTCTTTTCAATCACCTTAAATTCTAGATATTTATCCACAAGSGCAAGGCCGCAAAGTTCAACAGTCCAACGCAGTCAGTTTTTTTTTAATACCGACTTGCATTGTTGGGCCATATTTATAACTGAGTTATATGGAGCTTAAAAAATCAACTAGTCTTCAAAAATAAATGAAATTTTGCACACTTATCGATAAATATTTCCTTTAAGTGGGTCCAAAAGTTTACGGTTCCATCACCTTTGGCTTGCAAGCTGTCTTTTTTCAAGTACAGGCATGCCATTTTGGGCTGGATTTCTAACTGAAAGTTGCAAATTTCAATAAAAAATAAAAAACATCAACCAGTCCTCCTAGTCGTAAAAAATTCCGACAGTCTAGTGGCCACGGCCTTCCTCTTGAAGTTTCTTTCAGTTTTTTCAACAAACAGGATTTTCCACTTTAAAGAATTGCAGCAATTTAGGAATTTCCTGTAATTCTTGAGCATTTAATAAAATTTAAGAAAAAAGTCTTCATCATCAAGCTCATCAAACTGTAAGTTGTAAACAAAGGTAGGTAAACGCAATTTTTTTTTTATTTAAATGCGTCAGTTGCGAGCTATCTAAAAATGCAGAAAATTAATAATTTTTGTGATTTTTGAGAAATCAACAAATTGCTAAGAAGGAAACCATTTAAATTGTGCATGATCCCGTTCATAAAATCGCAAGTGGAAACTTCATCAGAAAAAAGGAACTTCTAAACCAGATAAAACTGCTAAAATTTAGGAAAGCCCTGTGACTTTTGCAAATTTCTATGAAAAATTGCACATTTTGGATACATTCTGAGTACATGATCACATTCTAAAGTCTCTAGTTTTCTTTTGCACGGAACGAGATAAAAAACCGACATTTTTGATTTCTATAGAACGGATGCGATTTCAAAAAGATCCTTCAAAAACTTCCTGTTATTTTTAGAAACTTATCAAACTTCTGCCAGTGCAGATCACTGTCTTCATGATGTTTCGTCTGTGAAAATCCAAAACATCAACCATTTATTGCCCTTATTTACAACTTAGGCAACGAAAGCAATTTCTCAAGAAAACTAGCAAAACTTACAGAAACATTCCAAATTATTGCAATTCTGGCGGATTAAGCCTTCGGACACGTTCAAGAAAACGCTCAGGGTTGCTCAGCATTTTTATTCACAACTTATTATATTGACTGTTTTATTGTTAGGGTATAGAAAGCGTGCAAAATCGAGTCCCTTTTATAAAAGGCCTAAACTTTAACCCTGCACTTGGCGGCATCTACAACTTGAGGTGTTAATAAAAGCAATTTTGACAGAATTTGTGTAAAAGTTGTTAAGTTATAGACGGAACGCGAGTTCTGAACCATCTTAATTTGGAAATTTCTTGTAATTTTTGATAAATTTAATAAACCTATAGAAAAAATCTTACCCCAATTGTGGATTATTGTCTTCATTCACCCCTAAGTTGCATACTAAATTATCTACTTTAGGGCTGAAATTTTGAAGTTGCCTAAAAAAGACGCGAGTGAAAAATGAACGGCAATTGCTGTAATTTAGTAATTTCATATGATTTCGGACAATTTATCAAATTTTGATAAATGACTGAAGATTTTTGATAAATTGATGAAAAGAAGAGCCAAAGGGCTGAAATTTTGAATTTTAATAGATTGGACGGGAGTTTCAAATGAAAAACTCTTCAATTGGTCATTATTGCGTAAAAAAAACCCAGATGCTGAAAAGTCTTGAAATCTCAGCAATTTAGGAGTTGTCGTTGATCCAGAGATTGTTAAGAATTTATTGAATTTCTGTAAAAATTAACATGCAATTGTACCTGATTGAAGCGTGATTTCCTTGTCCGTATTTAATTAATTTACTTTTAATTTAATTAATTTAATTTTGAGCCTTTGGACAATTAGTGAAGACGCCCTTGCCCATACGAGTGCAAAATATTCGAGATAATTCCAATTTTGCCAAAGTGCATATCTGTATTTAAGAAATCATCGTTCGTATACTAGAGCTTTAAGTTTTTGAATACTCATAGCCAAGTTCAAAAACTTGGCGAAACTTCGAAAAATTTCCTACCGAAAACTTTCAGTTAGAAATCCAGCCCAAAATGGCATGCCTGTACTTGAAAAAAGACAGCTTGCAAGCCAAAGGTGATGGAACCTTAAACTTTTGGACCCACTTAAAGGAAATATTTATCGATAAGTGTGCAAAATTTCATTTATTTTTGAAGACTAGTTGATTTTCTAAGCTACATATAACTCAGTTATAAATATGGCCCAACAATGCAAGTCGGTATTAAAAAAAAACTGACTGCGTTGGACTGTTGAACTTTGCGGCCTTGCCCTTGTGGATAAATATCTAGAATTTAAGGTGATTGAAAAGAATTGCAGGTTTTCTAGAATTTTTTCAAATTTTCAGTGGTTCAGAAACGTTACTCAAAAAAGTGTATGCCAGTACTTAAAAATATACAGATTCTCAACCGAAGAAGATGGTTTCTTGAACTTTCTGGGCCTCTACCGAAAAAAAGTTCTGTTACAATTTTATTTTACAGACCATATAAATACTTCAACTGTTCAGAAACATTATAGATAGTTTTTTTTTAAAAGTCAATGCTCGTACACTGCAGGCGATCGAATTTTTTATTTTCGCTCACTTAAAGGAGAAGCTTTTTTGAATAAACGTCCAAAATTTCAGGTGCTTCAGAACATTTAGGAAAAAATGGGCCTCAAATGTGCCGTTTGGGTTAGTTTAGATGTCCGTTATTAAATAAATTAAACTTCCAAATTTTTTTCATGAATTCCCATATTGAAAATAAGAGCAGTTAAAGCACTGAATGGTTGGAGTTGAAAAAACAGAGCGCACATTCTCCACAATCCAAAATTGCAGTAATTTTTCTGGTAAAGGGCAGTATTTTGGAAGTTTCACGGAAGCGACTGGAATTCGAAACCATATTTTCCAATATATAAAAAATTTTCAAACTTCTGCCTCATTGTGTCGGAGTTCCAGACGGAAACAGCTGGAAAAGCGCAAATTTTGAAGAAAATTTCGCTTCTCGGTATTACATTGGTTGTTCAAATTGCAGGTAAAGCGAAGCATTATGCTGAAAATGGCGGACGCCTGTTCGGAGCACAAAACCCAAACTTTCCACGAAATGTACGTCCAGAGGCACAACAATGTGAGCATTCTGTATGCGGACATTGTGAACTTCACCCCCTTGAGCGAGCAGCTGTCAGCCAGTGATTTGGTGAAGACTCTGAACGAGCTCTTCGGGAGATTCGACCAGATCGCTCAGGTACAGCCTCTATCCACAATTACTGAAATTTACCCGATAACCCATAAAATCCTTCGAGCTAACTGGCTCGTAAACCCTTAACAACTGGCTTTTATTCGTTGCAACGCTTTGTAATAGCTGGGTGTCGGTTTGCTTGGGCTTTCGAAGGTTTCCATGTCCATCCCTGAGGATTTGAGTGCAGCTAATGACTAATTTTACTAATGTTTTCATTGCTGATGGGCGCCGTTCTAAATACCATGTGTAATTGCTGAGTAATTTTCTAAATCAATGCTCGAGTTCTCCTTAATCAAACAACCAAAGCAAATACGAAAATTTTAAATCCCACTTTAATGTTTATTTTACCCCATGTGTGTGTGTGTGTGTTAGTTACTGAAATCGATACATTTCCAGCCGGCAGGCGACCGTTAACAACAGAGAATACATTTATAAATATCAGTGTCGCTGTGCATCATACAAAATTCATCCGGGCCTTCAAATTAATTCACCCTGTCCAGATAAACTTGCGAATGTTTACTCTGCATTCGCCTAATCAAGCTTGAACAGCAAAAAATCCATGCTTTTC